GCTTATGGTTTTCGTATCACTGAGTTTTTCATGACGAAGTTTTTAATTTGACTTTTTTTTATCATATTTTAGGGATAAATTGTAGAATGGGTAAAAATAATTAATATTTAATAAAAAGTTGGTATTATGTAAATAAAATTAAAACTATAAAAGACATAATGAAATTTGCTTTGAACAATAACAATAATGACTTGATTGCGTAACGGTTTTCGTCAACCCCACTCAGAAAAAGGAATGAACAAAAAGTGCCCGCAAAGCCACACAAAAATTAAAACAGTGCCTAAACCGTTAAGTTAGGGAAAAGATATGACTAACTATGTTAATCCACCACTTAAATATGAGTAGTGGGATTTAATCCTTTCAATACCAACTAATTTTGTCTTTGTGCTTTGTGCCTAAAAAAATATTGTTTTGATTCTTTCAATATATATATATATATATATATATATTGTTTTTATTCAAAATTATGGAATTTGCAAAATCAAATATTTAATCAAAGGTATATGATTCATTGCTGTTTCAAAATTATCAGTGAACAAAAGGAACAAAGTATATGGATAAATATTTCCCTAAACCTCAAACACGTCGGAATAAATCTTGGCCGGCCGACGACCATGCCGAATTAACACTTTAGAACATCAACATTCCTGCAACTGCAAAGAGAAGCGAACACAGCATTACTCCTGCATCAGCGCCGACCTCCACCGCACCGTTATTCAACGACGGCGATACACCAGAAATAGTGACAGGCGGAGACTGGGCCGAGTCAGCTGCAGGAGGCTCGACGTATGGTGGAGGAGGCGGCTGGTTGAGGCTGGGGGGCAACCCGATGCCGTGATTGACGAGGATCTCGAATGCCATGCCACGCTGGCACTGGACACCATCATCGGCGTCGGAGAAGTAGTAGTTTGTGCCTTCAATGGTCAACGGCACTGTGATGGTCAACAATTGATCGAAGTCTGTGTTGCCTCCGTTGTACTGGAAGGTATCAGTATCTGAAGCATCGTCCATCGTGCAGCTCTGGTAAGTCGTCTCATTGTAGGTCTGGATCACCGTCTGATTTGTACTAGTCCTAAATACTACGTAAAAATTTCAAGAAGATAAAAGATGAATGAGAAAAAAAAATCAAAACGGTTCTACTACAATATATTGTACCAGAAAAAGAAAAAGGAAATTAAAGTTAATGGGCGTACCGAGATAGTCACCAAGATTGAAAGTTTGATTAGCAGCCCAAGACGAGTAATCAACGGCGGATTTATTAGTGTTGGAATCGAAGAACCAGCCGGCGTCACCGCCGACAGTGTGGTTAGTGTATCCGGTTGCAGCGGCAACGGTGGTGATGAGGAGGGCGATCACCGTTAGATTCAGTTTGGTGTCTGAAGCCATGAGCCCCGTTGAATTTGAATGTACGCGTCCGATCTGATTAATCATAGATCTGGGTAAGGGGATTTAAATTTTTAATAGGAGAAGGAAAACGGTAAACGGTAATGGGAATGTGAAGCGCGTGAGATGGGACCCGCCAATGGTCCCGCATTTTCCTATTTATCAGGTTCCCGCTGAAATTTTAGTTGGAAAGGAAGATTGAATTTTAAATTGACTAACGAATGCAATTGAAACACTTAGGAAAGTCATTGAGTAACAAAAATGTTAAATTACCGTGTATTTCATGACCATAATTTATCTATTAAAATGTTAAATAGTATTCATTAGTGTCTACTTTATTTCATTATTATTTCCGCTTCTTATTATTTTATATTTTAAAAATAAAAACTAAATAAGTTTATTTTAATACAAGAACAATAAATTTTTGGTTTCGATAGGCACCCAAAAGTATAATTCATGTGAAATTATTATTTTGAAATGACGTTTTTAAATCATTTTATTATGATCTTTTTGTTTTTTTTTGTATATTTTTATTTTATAACAAAAATAATTTACAAAATAAGAAAATATTTATGAAAACTTTAATCAATTCTCTCTCTTTTTTTTTTTAAGTATTATGTATTTTACTGACACGAGGTCAAAAATACATAAAACACCAAGTCTGGGCATTACACAATGTAGCCAATAGCCCATTGGCCATAACAAACTGCCCCATAGCTTGAAGCAGCGATGCATGGTCAACCCAGTAGCTTGAAAACAACACTTGTGAAGCTATCTCAATCACTCGGGCATTGTACCCAGGTTTCTAACTTAGGAAGCTCAGTAAACTGTACTTGAACTCCCTTAATCCCTTACGCACCGGCTTCTACTAGTTTCCAGAGCCATTCATCCAACAATAAATCTGATCCAACCCAGAACTGTAATCTGAGATTAAAGTTGTTCGTTTGTCCAATCCCGTAATGATGTGTGCACCATCAGTTAAACACAATAAGCAAATATTCAGTTTTGTCTACATTGATTTTCGCTGGAGTATCAACAATATCTTTGGTCGCCGGAGGGGGCAGACCAATGATATCCGAGGGAAGCAGGGATCGGAGGAAACCTTAAGGGATGAAATTCCCATACACTGTCCTTATTCTACAAGGTAATCGGGGTAGGGATTCTAATGCAACCGAGCTTTTGGCCATTAGGAAAGCTTTCCTGATTTTTATGACATGGAAATGGGCATTGACTCATAAACTTGTCAACCACTTTTAATATCAGGATGGTTTGGATTAAATTCCCTATGATTAGTATTATATCTACATTTTCTAATCCATAAATCTACATTGTGTTTTCCCTCGAACAGATTTGGCAATATACATTACAGAAAATTCTTAACACATGCTTTTATATTGTTTCCGGGATGCGGGATGAATATCACTCCTTTTGTTATGCACTGAATTACAGCTTAAACCAGACGAAAAGCTGCAAGTTATAACAGGGAAAGCAAATGATTTTTACTGGTATCTGTCCTGGAGGTGGGCTTGGGCTTGTGCTGGAGCTGGAACTGGAACTAGTGCTGGAGTTGGACTTCTGGGAGTAGCCTCGGCAATGCAACCCTAAATTCCAACAATGCTAAATATTATACAAAATTCCTCGTATATTGATTCCTAAACCTGTTGGTTCGCTAATATCAATTTCTCCATGGGGAATTTCCCCGTCGAGAGGATGAAGTGGTTCCCGCAAGTAATAATTTCAATTCAATCCTGGAATTTACCTTGTTTCATTCTGCTACTTGAGTGTCTTGCATCCAACATAGTGATTTGCAGAAGGACGTGCCAACAGATTTCTTTGCAATTTCGAGCACAGCCATATCTTTTTCTTCCAGTCATAGTAGAAGCGTTATTAACAAAGATGCAGCTGGAGACTGCACTGGTCCATTTTATTAAACACGAGTCCAGCTGCTGCTGTGGCTCATCATTCGTCATATCCTGTATTGTATTATGTGTAGTTAATAAATTACAATAGAATACAGGGTTTGCATTGTCTTGCAGCACAGTCTCGTGGTCTTGTTCCAACCCAAGAAATTGTTCTGGTCCGTCTCGACGGAATCAAATCCGTGAAGAAAAACAACCCCTCTTTCAGCTGTCTTAAAAGATCTGACTCCAGCTTTTGTCATCAACGATCTGACTCCACAACTTCTCTCATACAAAAGAAAAATTGTAGTTACAATCAAATGCTTCGTATCCAACGCAATCTGTGAGGGTATACTAGCACGTTCAAACACAAAATTTTATTAGTGCTAATTGTGAATAAATTAATCGTTGGGTTTTGTGGTAAGACCAAGATTAGTTTAATTAAGCAAAGCACATTGTTTGAAGACCATCATCGCGCCCACGGCGGCCTGGGAAATACCGCTCACGGGGGTCAGCACTGAGCTGCACCGAGCCATCCCCCGACAAGCGTGGGCTAGAAGCCTTTGTTGTTTAGACCACAAATAAATTATAAAGGGGAAGAGTGTGGCAAGTGGGACTCACATGATCTCAGTCTCTTACAACTATTTCACTTTGTTTTATTCTCGGACCTCTTCCTCTCTCGTAAGCTGTAAACATCGTTTTCTTTTTTTATGATTTTGTACGGTTAGATTCCTTTTACCAAGGTGATTAAAAGTCAAAAACGAACCGCCAAATTACTAAGATACCCTTCTCTGTTCAAAACCTTATTTGATTACTGTAGTTGTTTGATGCATGTTAATATATGGTATTTATTTATTTATTAAAAATATTTGAAGTATTTAAAAATTTTAAATAAATGTTTATTTTTTATTATGTTTAATAGTTTTTTATATTTTTATTTTAAACTAAATAAAAATTATAATTATTAATTAATTAATAATTAAAATATTAATTATTATTTTTAAATCATATGATATTCACATTATATATTAATATATTATAATAAATGATAACATAATAACATAAATATATAATATTTTTTACTTTTTTTGTGATAAAAATAAATAAATAGTATTTTAATTAATTATAATAAATAAATTTTATTTTAATTGAGAAAAAGAATTCTATCTTGTCCTTTGAATATGGAGATCATGTACCATATAATGTGTTAAATGCACACATACGAATAAAATGTTAATAATAAAAATTTATTTAATTTAAAATTAAATAAATCAATTAAATATAATAAAAACAATAAAAACCTATTTTAATATTTTTTTAAAATAGTTTAAAAAATTTCAAACGTTATGCATTAAATTTATTAATAATGTATAAAGTTGATATATCCCTATAATGTAGTAAATATAAATTATTTTTAATTTATATATGTAATAAAGATATAGTACTACCATGGTATTTCAGTCTTTTCAAAAATATATTTAATTGGTTTTTTAAAATTCAAAAGAAACAGTATCCTATAGGTCAAACCCAGTTAAGCCTAAGGCTGTGCAAACGTATGCTGCACACTGTGTTTAAACTACACAATCATACAGATAATAATTAAAGGGTTGAAAATCCGAAGAAACCAACCAAATACCAACAAAGGCCAAACAGAACACAAAAGGCTCCATTCACCTCACGCGACCTCCAAAAGAGCGTCGCTCGTTTCCGTTACCTTAACCCGCCATCAATGGCTTCACAGAAGACAACAGCTTCTTTTTGAAGATCTCGATCCCACGTGACCCTCCTCACTCGTCCCATGTTCATCACAATGGCGCGTGTCCTTTCCACAATTGTCTCAAACCCACAATCGAAAGCCTACCCCATCAACATCTCATCAGTTATCACTATGAAACCCATTTCACCCAACGGTCACGAATAAATTCGTGACCCTCAAACCACATTCCGACACGTCAACGTTACGATCTCCATCATAAAAACTGCCCCACTCTGGCCCTCTTCATGCTTGAAAAATAGAAAAAAAGGAGTAAAATTAGAAAGAAAACAATTCTTCTAGTACGCTCAGTCAGTAGCTGCGAACTCTTCTTCCAAACCGGTGAAGAAAAGGGAGCAAATGAGATCCTAGAATTCGCTTTCGTTTTCTTCTTTTATTTACAATCATGCCATCACGGTTTTCACCACCAGAAATTGCGGTGGAGACACCGCCACACCACCATCGTCACCTCCACAAAAACTTCCACCTCCTCCCTCCACTCCTTGCTGGGACCATAACTATAACTATAATGCTTTTAATTGTCTTAATCATCTTCATCTACCGGAAGCTCTATCGCAACCGCACAGCTCCATCGGAATCTCCGAGCCATCGTCACTGCCGTCGCTTCTCATACTCCCTCCTTCGCCGCGCCACCTCATCGTTCTCCCCTTCCAACCGGTTGGGACACGGCGGATTCGGCTCGGTTTACAAAGGAACTCTCCCTAACTCACCTCAGCCACTCGCAATCAAGATTATGAACTCAACAGATTCGTTACAAGGAGAGCGTGAGTTCCACAACGAACTCTCTCTATCACGCGCCTTGGATTCTCCCCACATTGTTCCTCTCATTGGGTTCTCTTCAGATTCCAGAAGAAGAAGGTTCGTCCTGGTTTACGAATTAATGGAAAATCGGAGCGTGCAAGACGCGCTTTTGGATAGAAAATGTGAAGAGCTGATGGGGTGGAGAAAAAGATTTTGTGTTATAAATGATGTGGCTAAAGGGCTTGAGTATCTCCATCATTTTTGTGACCCGCCTGTTATTCATGGAGATATTAAGCCAAGTAATATTCTTTTGGATGTGGAATTCAAGGCCAAGATTGGTGATTTTGGGCTTGCTAGATTGAAAACAGAGGATCTAATTGAAGGGCTTGAAGAAGGTGAAGGTTTGAGGAAAAAAGATGTTGTTGGAGAGGATAACGGATCGATTTTAGAAGAAACAGAGAGTGTTTTGACTGGGTTTGAAGAAGGGGCAAGTTTGACGGTTGCTGATAGGTCACCAGAGAGCTATGTGCTTAGAGTTTTGGATTCGGAGGCGTCGCCGGCTGTGTCACCGGAGATGGCAGTAGAGAAAGGAAGTGTTTTGTCTGAAGGGTTCTTTGATAAGGTTAGTGTGGAAAGTGGGAGGGATTTGGTTAGTAATAAAAAGGGTAGTTCGAGAAGAGATTGGTGGTGGAAGCAGGATCCTGGAGGTGGGTCTGAATCAGGAAGAGTTAAAGACTACGTAATGGAATGGATTGGGAATGAGATCAAAAAAGAGAGACCCAAAAATGAATGGCTTGCTTCTCCAAGCTCAGTTGATAATATTAATGATAGTAAGGTTTCGAGTTCGAATGTGGAGCAAAAGAAGGAAAAGATTCGGAGGAAGGAGCGGAATAGGAAGCCGAGAGAGTGGTGGAAAGAAGAATTTTGTGAAGAGCTCACTAAGAAGAAGAAAAAGAAGAAAAGAGAACCTAGTTCGAGTAGCAATGGAGAATTCTGGTGGCAAAGAGATGAAGAAATGATAGAAAGGAAAAAGAAGAAGAGTAGTAGAGGCAGCATTGATTGGTGGTTAGATGGATTTAGTGGTGAGTTCAAAATTGGGAGAAGAAATAGCCAAGATTGGGCAAGTGGGGATATACCAAAGAGCGGTGGAATTAGTAGTACGCCGAGTATGAGAGGAACGGTCTGTTATATTGCGCCTGAGTATGGTGGCGGCGGTTTGCTTTCAGAGAAATGCGATGTTTATAGCTTTGGGGTGTTGGTTTTGGTTATAATATCTGGCCGTAGACCTCTTCAAGTGACGGCGTCGCCAATGTCTGAATTTGAGAGGGCAAATTTGATATCTTGGGCAAGGCAACTGGCTTATAATGGGAAGCTCTTGGAACTTGTTGATCCCTCCATTCATTCACTAGATAAGGATCAAGCATTGCTTTGTATCACCATTGCATTGCTCTGTTTGCAAAGATCACCAAGCAAGCGGCCTACTATGAAAGAGATTGTGGACATGCTTTCTGGTGAGGCTGAGCCACCACATTTGCCTTTCGAATTTTCACCTTCGCCGCCATCCAATTTCCTGTTTAAGTCCCGGAAGAAGGTTCGGTGAGTGTTGGATCTTTGATAGCGTTTTGATTTAACTGTAGAGTGTGTACCTGTTGTAGGTCATTTCGTTACTACTGGCTTATGAAGAAATAGTTGCAAAAATGGAGAAAAAAAGTTGCTTATATCTCATAAATGAGTCTGCTTTTGCTTGTTTCCTTTTTCAATGTTTCTTCCTTTTTAAGGTGTTTGCTTAAACCAATGCTTATCAACAGCTATGACTAAGGATTTTAGGATGAGCCCCACCCCTCTTGACCTTTGCTACCATTAGTCCACTAGTTGTTGAGTTTTAGGAATCCCAGGATTAACGGTAAATGTAGAGCTACATGTATGTTGCTTGTTTACTTTTTGGAAGGAGATGACTTTGTTACCTTAATTGGATTTAAATAAATATAAATTTGCTCTGTTCCTGGAACCTTAATTTTTAATTAAGTGATTTCAGACAAGCACTTTTTCTTTTTCCTTACTTTTGGAACCATGGGGCCCAGAGGATATATCCCTTTTCGTTTGTTTTCTTCCTTTCAGAAAGTAGCTGATATTTGTTACAGGGATCCTGAAATTCAGTAGTAGGGGACAACTCTTGGCCCAGTCTTTTGTTATGCATGATGACTACACAGTCATTTGTATAGATATCAGATATGCAATTCAAACACACAAGCACAGAAATACACAAAGTGGAAGTCAATCCTTTTAAAGCATTCCAGCTTCGATTAGGATTGACTAATACGAGAATCAAAATTTCCTCTCAATATGATTCAGCTCCAATGATGACTTCCTTATTATCTCCAGCCTTCACCCCTTGATATTATCCATTTCTCCGATCCTTGCTTGACACACTATTTCAAAATTTTAGTGATAGTCTCTTAATGATCTTTATTATTGTTCAAGTCCCCAATTTATCAATCGCAGGCAAAACCGCTTCCATTACTGTGGTAGACAATAATGAAGTTCTTTGTGCCTGCGTTTCCAACCATTACATGGTTCTTGCATTTTTAAGTGCTGTCACGGGTAACTGTTTATTGAGGCTGTGTGTGTTAACACATTAGATAGCTCTTGGTGAGGAAAAGGAAAATATTCTGAAAATGGAAGTAGACTTGTTCCTTTTAGCTGGAGAGAAGACAATAGGGAAGAAGTACCTGGAAGAGTAGTTTTGAGTTCTGCTTTTTCTGTGCCTTTGGAATATCGGATGTTCTAGAAGGTACAGCTTTGGAATATCAAGAGGGACTAAGAATTGTAGTAGGAAGTCATTATGGTGATGTCTTTGAGGTGGAAATATTCTGATGCTTTTTGCTTTTGCTGAAATGAATATGATTCTGCACAGTGAAAGCAGCTGCAGTGGGGGAATATGCAAGCGTTTCCAGTTTCTAGATGACTTAAGCGTCACATTTCTGACTTGTAAGGGACATTGGTGTTCTTATTTTTGCTCTTATTTTGTAAAGTCGAATGAACACTCTAAAATTTGCTTACCATGAACAACACTCAGAAGATTCTTACTGTTAATAGTACTTAAAAGGTTATACCAATGTCAGAATATCCAGAATTTGTCTCATCACAAAGGATTCTCAACTCTCAGGTGCCTTTGCTCTGAGTTTTCTAACATAATTTGGCCAGAGTTGGAGAGATTCCGGAGGTCTCTTTGCTATTTGAATATGTTGATTGTGAATTCTGTGTCCTTGTCCATAGAATCGGGCTCCTTCCTATTGTGAGAAAATTTGCCATATGAAAGTTATCTGAGACAGAAAGTTTCTTCTCAGCTTATTACCGTTAAGATCAAATTCAATGTGAAACAGAGCAGATGATTAAGAACAATAATGGAGCTACATGTTGTGGATTAAATTAAGATAAAGTCTACCCAAAAGTACTAAAGTTGTTGAATCCTTTGGTTTCAATTATGTACCAAAGAGTGCAATTAACTATTTTTGGTGCATCATAATAATCCGATGATGTAATTGTACAACATTATTATTAAGATTTATATTTGATGTACCACATAAATTTAAAAAATAAATATTCATAATTCTGGAAATCATGGTATAAAGGGAAACCCATAGGCGCTTTACTAAAACCCTAGACCTAGAGCTAGCCGTCTTCTTATTCAGATCTATGCACTGATGAAACAAGGCTTGCTGACTTGGGTTTTTGCCCAGAAAGACACAAATGGGACCTTAACCTTTTAACCCATTTATTCTCGAGTCGGGGTTCACAAATACTAAATGGATGCTTTTTGAGAAAGTTTTATTTTTTTTATTTATATTTAAATTATTAATTAGTATATTAAGTTATTAAGTTAAATTATTAAGATATAATATATTATGATAAGTTATTGAATTGGGTTGTTAAGATATAATATATTATGATAAGATTAAATTAAGATTTAGTGAGCTTAAGTTAATAGATTTACTTTTATTTTTTAAATTTAATAAACTTAACATATTAAGTAAAATTTATATGATAATTAGCAATATACTGACTGACTTTAATTTCATCAAATTATTTGAGAAAATATAATAAATAAAAATTTTTAAAAAATTATAACGTTCATGATAGAGTTATTTTATTTATTTTTTATTTATATTAATTATTTAATTAAAATATTTTAAAAAATTTAATAATATATATTATATATAAAAAATTTTAAAAATTTTGAGAGACCATGTAACGAGACGCTTGGCCCCTGCCTCCAGGGAAAGGGACCAAATTTTTTATAGAATATTAATCAACCAAGTAAAAAGAGATGTAAAGTGTATACCAAGAACAAAGAGACTTCTTTTTCCTTTCGAGGGCTCATACCTAATCCTGCCCATTCATCAGCTGTTTTCTTCATCTGTGTGGTCTGAAGAATTCCTTTGAGTGGAGACAAGAGAACAATGGATGATCTCTGGTTCAAAGCAAGTAGGCCAGTTTATGCGAACAACTATATAACCTTTAATTAAAACTGTGGACCAGACATATTTAGCCTTTGCATGCGGTGTGGGCAACTTGTTCTAGAGTTGCCATCCATGCAATGATCGAGGGTACTGGAAATTAACTGCCCGATGCAATATCTTTGATGGCAACCAAAACAATCTGTCATCAGTTTGAATTAGAGAGACCCATCAGACCAGTGATAAAGTCAAAATTTTTCATTTGGTTGAAATGTGAAAAATAATATCTATAAAACAATCATATTATAAATTTAATATTTGATAAAAATATAAAACAACTTAAATAAAAAAATTTATATGAAAATTTTATAAATAAATTTTAAAAATTATTTTAAAAAATCAAATTTTAATAATTTATTTTAAAAAATTAATTAGTATAATTATAAATAATTTAATAATAAAAAAATTGAAATTAAAAATATAAAAATAAAATAAGTAAATAAACTAAATTTATCAGTTATCATGATATGAAAATTATTTTATTGATTAAAGATTTCTTGTATAGAGAACATTGGTAAGTAAAAAAGTGTAAAACAAATGATTTTTTTGTTTTAGTATTTTGTAAAATGAACAAAAAAATCAAAAAGTGATAATGAGGTTTTAGAGAAGTAAAGTTTAGAAATAATTTTATTGTAATAAATTTTATTTTAGGTTTATTAAAATTATTTATTGACTAATCACTAAATAAAAATTTATTGCAAGTGTGAAATTATAAACCTTTAAAAATACAAAAATAGGTAAGAAAAATTTTAAAAATTTTGTAAAAATAAAATTATAAAATTTTAAGAAAATAAAAATAAGTTATAAAAAATTTAGGTTGGGGCCAGGGTGGAACCCGGGGACCCACTAGTCCCCCCTCCGTCCTCCTCTGCATCAGACCCACATTTAAGACTCTGAACAAAGAGTAAATGCAGATAACTAGCCAACAAAAACAAGCAGGAATGGTTGAAAGAACTTTATGCACCATTATTTCACAACTCCCCCACCAGCATTTATTTGTACTGTCTATTTCCACCACAAACGTTTCTTATACCATCTTCTCTTCACCCATTCAGGCAATCATCTCTCTTGATCTCCATCTCAAAACCATGGCAGATCAATCCTCTACTGCACCATCATCCATGGATCCCTACAAATTCCTCAAAATTGTCCAGAACCCAGACGGGTCACTCACTCGACTCGACCAATTCCCTTCGGTTTCAGCAACAGAAGGAAGCGCCGATTCCAACACATCTCAACTATCTCCCTTTAAGGATATCCCTCTGAACCCCAACAACAAAACCTTCATTCGTGTTTACAGGCCTCCAACTGATCCCCCACCAAGCACTAAGGATAAGCACCCTCTTATAATAGACTTTCATGGCGGCGGCTTTGTCCTCGTCAGTGCTACTTCCCGTCCTTTTCACGATGCATGCAGCATCAAGGCAGCTAAGCTCCCAGCTGTAGTCATCTCCCTCGAATACCGTCTTGCACCCGAACATCGCCTTCCAGCAGCATACGACGATGCCATGGAGACGATTATGTGGGTCCGGGACCAGGCGGTGGATACCAACGGCTGTGATCCATGGTTAAAAGAGTACGTAGATTTCTCCAAGTGTTTTTTGATGGGCGGTAGTGCAGGTGGCAATATGGTTTACCATGCAGGTTTACGTGCACTGGACGTCGATGTCTCACCTGTGAAAATCATAGGGCTGATAATGAATCAGCCATACTTCAGTGGGGTCGAAAGGACTGAATCAGAGAAGAGATTCATCAACGATCGGATTTTGCCTTTGGCAGCTAATGATCTGCTGTGGTCCTTGGCTTTGCCAAAGGGAGCTGACCGTGATCATGAGTATGCAATCCAATGGCTGCTGATGGGTCCCATAAGGAGAAGATTGGACGGCTGCCAAGGTGCTTGGTGACAGGGCATGGAGGGGATCCGCTAGTTGACAAGCAGAGGGAGTTGGTGAAAATGCTGGAGGCCCGTGGGGTGGAGGTGGTGGCGGAATTCGCTGAAGGAGGTTGGCATGGGATAGAAATTTTCGATACATTGAAGGCTCAAGCTCTATTTGAGAGCATTAAGGAATTTGTCAACGCTTCATGTCAGATTGTTAACGTGGCTACTGCCAAATCAACCCTGTGAAGCTGCCACTCTGCCAACACGACCATTTACTAGTACTATTGCGACAAAATTTTCAATACTTTGCTAAAATGATAATTATTGTT